ACCCCTCTTACTTCTGTTAGATCACTTGGCCCTTTCTTTGGTTCCCATACTCCAGTAGAGCCAACTACTAGGCTAGGAGCCCAGGCTGGGGTGAGCTACCCACCAGGGATGACATTTACTTGCACAAAGGGATGGTCTCTAGGAGCCCCTGCAGGACCAGAGCTGGAAATGCTGTAGCCCTGGTGAGCTAGGGAGAGATGGAAGGCAGTAGCAATCCACTGGCCAGAGAGGGGTGGACGCAGAGCTCAGGGTCCCTGCAGGGGGAAAGGGAAGTTCAGGGCCATAGGGGCTTCCTTGTGCTCTTTGGGTTCCCCACTTGCCACTCAAGACTCAGCTTCCTCAGTCCTCTGCTGACTCCCCAGCCTCACCTGTTCCCCTGTTCCTCTATGCAGTCACCTTTTCTCCTATTCTCCAGGCTGCAGACCTTTGACCATGCTGGCCCTCCTGTCTAGACTAGCCTCCCAGTCTTGCAGTGGCAACTCCTTCAAGGTTAGCCAGGCACTATGGTAAGGGGATGCCCTAATCTTGGATGACTTGGGGACCACTCATTCCTGGCAACCTAGGGAGCTCTGCTTCAGCCCTGGCCATGCAAAAATGTATCTGGGAAGACACTGTGTCTCACCAACCAGCTTCCTGCCACCTGGAACTCTGGAGCCATCACCAGTGATGATTCATACCCTTTCTCTTCTTTGGATACAGCCTGAAAATCAAATGCCCCAGAACAGGAAGTCTCAGAGGTTCTCGCTTTTTGGATCCTGAAAGCACCAATTTACTGTCACTTTTCCCTCTTTTAAACAACACCTGCATCCACCTTCACCCCACTCCCACCCCCAAGTGGGCAGGGAATTGTAGGAGCCTGGTCTAGGGGTGCCCGGCATGTGCTGGCACAGAGTTTGGTCTTAGCAAATTCTGACTCCCTCCCTTTCTTGTACGCATTTGCCTGTGTTTGCTCCCCCAAGCCCCTTGGTGTCCACCTTTCTTGCTCACCAAACAAGAGAGAGAGAGAGCGGAGAGCGCGAGAGCGAGCTTAGCACCCACTGCGCATACTTCCTTTGGAAGGGCTGATGAGCCTAGGACAAGGGCCTCACCTGCTCTGCTGGTCCCTCGCCTGTTCCCAATCCGGGGTCCTCACCCGCTTTTCCTGGCTTGGCATGTGTGGCGGGTCCACCCTCTGCGACGTGTCTGCAGGGACATGGAGGCAGGTGCTGGCTTTGGGCTCCCGGGCTCCTGGCCGGACCAATCCCCGCCCCTCGGCCCCGCCCCTCGGAGCCACCTGCCCCACCCTCCTGTTCACGCGCCAGGCCAGCAGAGACCCTGCCTCCCGGTGTGTGGAAAGTCCCTGGACTCGCCAATTGTCAATATCTACCCCCCTCCCCCAGCACATGGGTGCAGTCACCCCATCAGGAAGGCTACGTTGTGAAACTTGTGTCCAGAGTAGACTTGTGGAAGCTGAAGAATCCTTGGGCTTCCTGGTCGCATCAGAGGCCTGGCTTGTTGGAGAAGAGGGCTCCCTTGCTCATCTCCTTTGCCTTCAACCTGCTGCGAGGAGGGGCTGTCACACCCATCTTCCAGAGGAGGACTGAAGGCTCTGACCCCAAGTTAGGCAGTTGGCCATTGGCAGACTCTGGCTTGAACCTGGTCTCTGGGTGTTCATCCAGGACATTTAAAAGGTAGCCACAGGGGCTGGGTGCTCCTAGCACTCTGGGAGGCTGAGGTGGGAGGATAGCTTGAGCCCAGGAGTTTGAGGTTGCAGTGAAGTGTGATAAAACACCACTGCACTCTAGCTGGGCTGCGACAGGGCAAGACTGTCTCAGAAAAAAAAAAAAGTAATGCTAAATAATGTACGGAAGGGAGAGAGGGCAGAGCTGGGGCCAGGGGTGTAGAGGGAGACTGAGGGGTTGGGGAAGTGGAGGCGAAGGTTCCCCATGGCAGCATGCAGTAGGGACTGGGGGTACACCTTCCTGGCCTCAGTAGCAGGGGTTCCTGGTGGGAGAGAGGTTAGACTTGAGTAAACCCAGGGCCCAGGCTTTGGGGTCAGGCAGATCCATCCTAGTTGGTGTTGACTCTAACCCGAGGCACATTACTGAACTTCTCTAGGCCTCAGTTTCCCTGTCTGTCACATGGAGCTGACAGATAATGCTTGACCCATAAGGTTGCTGTGAAACTTAAATGACTCTGATGTAATGAGCACCAAGCCCACAGCTTGTACATGGTGCCTGGCACCAGTCCACTTAGCTTTTTTGTTGAAACTTAATTTGCACGTTTTCAAATAGCCCGTTGGCAACATGCTAGTTCCTTTTTACAATTTTTTTTTTTTTTTTTACTGTGGTAAGACACATAGCATACAATTTACCATCTTACGATGTTTTATTTTTTAAAGAAGGAGAGTAATCAGGGTGGATGGTACACTGTTCCGTGTGCTATTCTGAAGGTTCTGAGAACTTTCAGACTAAAATTTGGGAGGTAAGAGATCTCTACCTGGGGCAGAGCTCTGAGTATTTCCCTGGGTCCTGGGCCAGCAGATGGGAGTGGGGACAACTTAGTTTTCCTGTGTTTGCGACCTGCCCACTCTCTATCCAGATCTAGTTCCCCGAGCCAGTAAGGAGGGCAGGAAGGAGGGGCCTGAGGTGGAACCCTCACCCTGCCTGGTGCACTGGGCCTTTCCTCACCTCCACACTCTCATTCAAGGCAAGGATTCTTTGTAGCCCATTTTACAGAGGTGCAAACTGAGCCTAGACGGAAGGTGGAACTTGCCTGAGGTCTCATGGCTGGGAAGGGATGGGCTGTAGGCCAGCCTCCTGGCCTGCTCTTTCTCTGGATGGTGGGTGGAGTTCAGCCATTCTCCTTTGTGTGCCTTCCAGCTCCTCTGCCCTACCCTTCTTGGCCCATCCCAAATCTCTGCCTGGAGCCTAGGTAATGACCTTCCCATCTTTGGCAAAGCCCCGCCCTGGGGCCCTCAGCCAGCTCCCTCCTTCTAAGGGCCACATTTCCCAGGAGTTGCTCCTGGAGATGGCCAAGGACCATGGGGATGAGGGGGAATCCATGAACCCTGATTTGAGGCCCCCACACAGTTGGGATGTATTTGGGCCATGGTCTGGCCTAATCTCTCTTCCTCAGACCCTGGGCATGGTCCAGCTGGCACCAAAGGGCTGTCCATCAGCTTTATAGGAATAGCTCTGACAGCCCCTTGTCTCTGTGGACAAGACCTGGAGGCTGTGGTAAGTGATAGCCAGTGGTTACCATTGTCTGGGTAGCTGGGATGGGGAGTGGTGAGGGCAGCTGTGGCCTAGGGCTGCCTCAAGGGGCACCTAAGGACAGTTTGTTCTTCACCCCTGAGCTCTGGCCCTGCCTTAGCTGCTTGGTCAAACTTCCCATAGCCCAGGGCCAGAAATTTGGAAGGAAAAGCAGCTGAGAGTTTTTCACTTTGGGCTCACCACAATCCCTGCGGAGTTCAGGCTTGGCCATCAACCAACTTTTATACAACTTGAGCAAGTCTCTCTACCCAGTTCTTTCTTCCACAGACTCTGAGAAGAGATTTGTATTGGAGTCAGTGTCATTTTCCTCTGCGGGACTGGCTCCCACTCTCTAGAAAAAATAGAGTCCATTCCCCTCCCCACATTCCTATCTGGCCTCTGAGTAGCCAGGGTGGGCCCAGAATCCACACTGCTTCCTCTCTTGCCTGCTCCATCCCTTCTCCCGTGCAGCAGAGTGATCTCTCTAAATCTCCCAACCAATCCTGTCCCTCCTCTGCTCAAAATCCTTCTGTGGCTCCCTAGTGCCTCCAAGAGGAAGTCCATGCTTCTTCTCATGGCTAGCATGATCTACCCCTGGCCTTCCTACCCCGTCACTGTGCCTCTTGCCTTCACCCTCCAGCCAGAGTGAACATCTTTTTGTCCTCACCTCTGGGCCTTTCCACATGCTCTTTCCTCTGCTTAGGAATGGGGCTGGGGCAGCCTGCCTCCAAGTCTTTTCTGATTCATTTCTACTTATCCTTCAGGTCTCTAGGATGCTCTTCCTGCTCCTACCTTAAACTGGCTCAGAAACCCCCCAGTTACAGCAAATGCCAGGAAATTGCCTGCCTATTCCCCAACCCCCAGCACCCAGGTCAAACTTGACATAGCGAGCACTTTGCCTTTGTTGAAGGACTGAAAGATCGATCCAACAGACATACTCACACCCAGACAGACGTCTGTGACTCTAAGTTGTGTATATGAGTATGTGCTGGAGAGAGGGCAGAGGGAAGTGGACTCGCCTTCATGGGCCCCCAAAGCCTGACACAAGCCTGCTTGTGGCCCCCAGATTGTGAAATACCACTTTAGTGCCAACCCATGGCAGAACCCTCCCCAGCCAGTGAGAAAAGAGAAGACTCTCCCATCTACCCGACCTGTCCCTGCCTGTCAGGGGGCAGCTCCAGAAGCTAAAAGGTGGAAGCAGCTGGTAAATAAATGCTCCTTGAGCTGGGAGTCAGAAGCCCTCCTTGCCATCCCCCGTTCCAGGCCCCTTTCTGCCATCTGCCAGAGTAGGAGCCTGAATCAGTCATGCGCATGCTCTTAGTTTTGACTAAGCCCAGCCTGGAGCCTAGGCAGCAGGTGCTCAATAAATGGGTGTGTGTATTAGGAAGGAACCAAGAAGCAGAAAAGGAAAGGGAAAGCACCTGTGGCCACATGGCAAGTCTGTGGCACAGCTTAAGCCTCCCCAGCCTACCTCACACAGACTGTTTAACACATCTCTTTTCTCAAAGCTTAAAGATATTTTTACCTGGCTGGGCACAGTGGCTCACACTTATAATCCTAGCACTCTGGGAGGCCAAGGCAGTGGATAGCCTGAGCTTAGTAGTTTGAAATCAGCCTGAGCAAGAGTGAGACCCTGTCTCTACTAAAAATAGAAAAAATTAGCTGAGCATCATGGCAGACACCTGTAGTCCCAGGTACTTGGGAGGCTGAGGCAAAAGGATTGCTCAAGTCCAAGAATATGAGGTTGCTATGAACTATGATGCCATAGTACTCTACCCTGGGTGAGAGTGAGATGCTCAAAAATTTTTTTTTATTTTTTTCACCTGATGTAACTGAGTGCCTGCTCATGGATTTCTTTTGGGGGTGATAAAAGTCGTAAAATTGGTTGTGGTAATGGCTGCACAACTCTGCAAGTGCACTGTAAACCACTGAGTTGTGTACTGTCCATAGGTGAATTGTTTAGTATATGAACTATACCTCAATAGAGCTGTTATTTAAAAAAAAGAGGAATACTGAACTTGAAGTCAGAGGTACACGAACTTGTTGAGTTCTCTCGTCTGTGACTTGGGATCCTATTCACTACCCTGCCTTCTTTTTAGGAGCTTATAGAATCAAATGAGAGGGTCAAGTTACTTTCGAAGTACTCCCCTTGGCCATCTGGTGACCTTAGTAATATTCAGCAGTGATGTATGTAGCATTTTTTCTAGGATGAGTTCATGACTTTACTTGTCTGATCTCATATAAATATGAAATAAAAAATACAAAGTGAAAAATGTATGAGGAAAGATGTTCTTCAGTTTTAATCAAAAGAATAAAAACAATAGCAATTTTAAGGTACCATTTTATGATACTGATTTGACAAAAACCTTCTTAAAATCATAAAACTCTGTGATGGCACAATTGTAGTGAAATCAGTACACTTAGGCACAGTTACATAGCGTAAAAATAGCACAACATTCTTATAAAATCAATAGAGTACTACATCAAGAACACCAAAAAATGTTAAAATCTTTGACATAAGTAATTTTTCCCTGTGGCCAATGCTTTGTTTTGTTGAAAACAATCAGAAGCTATGTAAACGTCCAATAAATATGTTACAACTCATCTACTTGATGAAATACTAAGCCATTAAAGACGAGAATTTAAAAAATAATCCAGTGATAAGGAAACTGCAAATGGCATAACAGGTAAAGAAAAAAGCATAAATTATGTGTGGTATAATTGCAACTCAGTACAACTTTAGATGGACTAGAGCAGATACTGTTCAAAACTAGTATTTGTCCTTCCTATTCTTTATTCAACATGTGCTCACTTTCCAGCCTCCCTAGCGTTTTTAGAGAGCCCAGTTACCACTGAGATTTAAAAGAAAGTCTCCTGTAGGGGTGTTTAGGGAACTATTTTGCTTTCCTGATGATAGGGACTGTCATAGTTCTCATCATTCTCTCCCCATCTTCCTTCTGCTTTGAATGCAGGTAAGATGCCTGGAGCTGCAGTAGCCTTCCTGTGACTATGAGGCAGCAAGTTTGTCAAAAAGGAGTCTTTCAAAAGTAATGGAACAGCAAGATTGAAAGATGTCACTGAACTGAGCTGTTTTCCCAACCTGGGATTGATATGTGAGGAAAATGAACCCCCATTTATTTAAAGCAGCGTTGTTACTTGATGCTGAAAGCATTCCTAGATGCTACAAGGACAAAGACTTAAAATCCAATGGACAGAGCCCACTGTTTGGAGATTGACTAACTATAGTTCCAATCCCATTTCTCCCACTGTCTTATTGTGTGATTTCAGCCACTTCCCCTGTGTTGAGTCTCATTTCCTCAGCTCAGAATGAAGCTAATGACACTACCTCTTGGGCTTTGCAAGGGTAGAAGGACATGACAGAGTTGGAAGTGTTTTGTTGTTAACAGCAAAGTGACAGGTTTAATCTCATCCAACTAAGATCTGAGTTAAAACAAAAGATGAAATTAGCTGTTGTGTTAGGAGAGGGGAATTGGTTATCGGTTTTTTTCCTTCCTCTTTTTTGTCTCAAATAGTCTTCAAGGCTGCTCTGGGTCTCTCTCTCCTGGACAGCGCACCCTGGGCTGTGGCTTTCTTGGTCCTGCGTGGAGGTGGCGGTAGGTGGAGCTCGTGGCTTGCAGCAGAGCTGGGAGGCTGTGGGCCCTTCACCTGCCCTGGCGGGCTGTGGAGTCCCAGCAGCAGCGGCAGTGACTTGAGGTAAAAATAATCAGGGAAGGACAGCTGCTTACTTGTCAGCAACCAAGAGGGAAATAAAGCTCATGTCCCCTCCAGCGAAAACCTGCTCTCCGGGTCCCCCGGCTCCTGCCACCAACTGCTCCATGTCCGCGTGCCAATCCAATTTGAACGCCTGCGAGTCACCCCAGAGAGGGCTTATTTTAACTTCATCAAGCGCAGAGAAAAACATCCAAGCTGGAGGGAGGGAGGGAGGGGAGCAGGTGCTTGGGGGCCCAGGCTGGGGATGGGTCCCAGGGGCTCCTGTCCCTCCAATGGTTGGACTTGGGGTCCCCTTCTCCTAGTCAGGTTCAACAATTGACCAAGTCATTCATTTTTCTGAGGCCTAGTACCCACCATCTGGGTATTCCCCCAAATTAAAAGGAGAAAGTCCCCATGTGCTGGCTCAGCTCACCTTTCCAGTTCCCCAAACTCCTCTCCTGTTCCCACTCTTCTTCAAACCCTCTCTGCTGGGGCTATACCAGGCCTTCAGGAAAGCCCAAGTGTGGTTTCTTGAGCCTCTGTGCCTTTCTCCTGAACTGACTTTCCTCTGTTTCTCTGCCTGGTCGGTGTCCAGAAATTCTAGTCAGGTTTCCTGAGAGTTCCCAGTCAGGCTCCAAGACTCAGCTTGGTCTCACTGGCTGCTTCCCCAATCCCTTCAGGCAGGGCGAGTTGTCCTCTGCATTTCCTATGGGATGTTGTACATCTTCTGCTTAACAAGGAATGGGGTCTGCCTCCCTTCTCCCCTCCATGTTTTTCCCTCACTCCTTCCCTCATTTCCAGCAAATGCACTGAACCCCCATCTTCCACTAGGCCCTGTGCCGGGTGTTTGGGACAGATGTGAATCCTGACTAGGCCAGGTCCTCAAGGAGCACTGGTGTGGACAGCGGCAGCGTGAAACTAAGCCAGGGCCAGGGGCAGCGGGGGCAGTGTGGCAGCAAAGTGGGAAGCATGGTTACTTTGCTTTTGTTTCTTCCTAGTTTGGTTTTTAATCAAAGGTTACAGAGACATTTCTGATCCCCAGTCCAATTCTAGGGGACTCCCATCTTTAGTTTATTTGTTTCTACATTGTTAGCAGGGCTTGGCCTCCAAGGGACCATGGGGCTTATCTCTCCAGGAGACCGTTGGAAATGATTGGAAGAGAGCCAAGTGTCCTGGGCAGCCTGGAGGTGGGGACAGAGGACAATGTGTGATCCCAGTGTGCTTGTTCTGCAAGGGAGGGATGTGGCCCAGGCAGGAGCAGGGCTGGTGGCTTGTTGATCCCCTGCTCCATCTCTGACTCCCAGCCCAGCGGCGTCCAAAGTGGCCTCAGTGGCACAGGGGCGGGCTCTGGGCATGGTGGAGGCTGTCTATGCTGCATGTCCGATTGTTTGGAAAGTCTGAAAACTTAATTGTTTCCTAGGCCATGATGTAAAGTCCTGGCATCAAGGGGTGTGTCAATACATCCCAGGGCTGAACATGTCACCAGGCTGGGTCCCTGTTGAGGTGGGCCTTTTGGAGGATGGGTAGGTAGTGTGTATGCTGTAGTTTAGATGTTTGTTCCCCTAAACCTGTGCTAAAATTTGATCCTCAGTGATGGAGATGCAGCATAAGAGGAGGTATTTGGGACATGGGGGCAGATCCCTCATGAATGTCTTGGCGCTGTCCTTGGGGTAATGAGTGAGTTCCCACTCTATTAGTTCACCCGAGAGCTGGTTGTTAAAAAGATCCTGGCACCGCCTGGTTCTCTTGCTTCCTCTCTTGCCATGTGGTCTCTGCACATGCCGGCTCCCTTTCACCTCCTGCCATGAGTGCGAGCAGCCTGAGGCCCTCACCAGATGCCCAGCCAGTAAAATTATGAGCCAAAAGAAACTCTTTAATATATAAATTACCCAGTGTCAGGTTTTTTGTTTTTTTTTTTGAGACGGAGCCTCAAGCTATCCCCCTGGGTAGAGTGCCATGGCCTCACAGCTCACAGCAACCTCCAACGCCTGGGCTCAAGCGAATCTCCTGCCTCAGCCTCCCAAGTAGCTGGGACTACAGGCGCCCGCCACAACGCCTGGCCATTTTTTGGTTGCAGCCGTCATTGTTGTTTGGCGGGCCTGGGCTGGGGTTACGAACCCGCCACCTTAAGTGTATGTGGCTGGCACCTTAGCCGCTTGAGCCACAGGTGCCGAGCCCAGGTTTTTTTTTTTTAATAGCAACACTAAACAGACTAAAGCAATGTGAGAGGAAGAAGAGGGAATTCTGTAGGGGTGTGTGGGGGAGAGTGAAGACGAAGGGACTGGCATAGCAGCTTGGTGGGGAAGCAGCTTTCTCAGGGCCAGCCAGTTGGAGGGGCTGAGGGGGCCTTTGACTTCACTCAGGTGTAATTCGTCTCCCACAAGTGAGTGACAGCGCTGGCTTGAGACATGCTCCTCAGAGTTGATCTTGAATACTCCATCTTTGTGCTCTTGAACCCACACCTTTGGCTTCCAGATGGACCTCCTTGGGAGAAGCCAGACCCAGTGGACTCCCTCATGGTCCCGGCACCTAGAGGATGGAGAGAGAGGCCCCTCTGTGAAGACCCACCTGCTACACAGTGGGGTGGAGAGAGCCTGGCCTGTGAGTCAGGCCATGTTCTAGCTGTAGTGGGCACCCATCACTTCCCATGTGTCCAGCCCACCTGCTTCACTGGGGGAATTCTCCTCCCCATCATTCATGAGGTTCCACTCTGCTTGCCTCTCCTCAAAAGCAAACCAACAAGTAACATGAAATGCACTGGAAATGGGCCTGAGCCTTGGTTTGGCCATTCTAGTCACATCTGAAGCTGTTCCATTCAGAACTCTGCCCTGGATACTTTGTTGTGGGGTGAGAAGAACAGGGGGTCCTGACTCTGGGATTTCTGAATTGGAAAGATATGAAGCTAGAAGTGCTTGTAGCCATGTGTCATGAGGTAGGTTTGGCTGTACACAATAAAAGACTTCAAATAAAATTGGCATGAACAATGTAAAGATTTATTTTTTAACGTAAAAGACATCCAGTGGTGACCAGTCAAGGGCTTATGTCACTGATGCATTAGTCTCTCCTGACCCAAAATGGCTGCCAAAGCTCCAGTCATTCTACTCGTGTTTTAGGTAATGGGAAGGAGAATAAGTAGGTGAGCTCCTTCTAGCTGAGTCAGCTCCCTTTAAGCAACCTTCCCAGAAATACTACAGTAAACTTCTATTTACAGATCACTGGTCACAAGGGAATTTGAGAAATATTACTTTTTTTTTTTTTTTTGCTTATTTGTTTCTTTTCAGAGATAGGTCTTGTTGTGTTGCCAAGGCTGGTCTTGAACTCATGGCCTCAAGTAATACTCCTGCCTTAGCCTCCTCAGTAGCTGAGATTGCAGGTATGAGCCATCAAGGCTGCCCCAAATAAAGCAAGTTTTCTTTCCTTGCCATAGGCTGGATTTCTCCTCGTATCCACATGCAGTGGGGAGGAATAAAGCCAAGCTGAGAGGAGGGAACTCAGATTTTGGGAGAAACATACAAAGAGGGAGGGAAGCAGAGAGGCAGAGGCAGAGAGTTGACAGGGGGATGAGGACTTCCCCGAGAACCTAAACCCAAAGGGTGTCTGAAGCCAGCCCAGCTCCTCGAGCTCCAGGTCGCCTGGCTTAACACTCCCCTTCCTCTTCTTCTTAGGCCCAGTTGGATGGGATTCCTGTCACTGGTAACAGGAAGAATGTGCTGACCTCAGGCGAGGACTTACTGTCTTCGAACCTTTTTTTTTTGAGACAGTGTCTCAGTTAGTCACCCTTGGTAGAGTGCCTTCGCGTTACAGCTCACAGCAACCTCCAGCTCTTGGGCTTAGGCGATTCTCTTGCCTCAGCCTCCCAATAGCTGGGACTACAGGCGCCTGCCACAACAGCCGGCTATTTTTTTGCAGTTTGGCTGGGGCCAGGTTTGAACCCGCCACCCACCAGCGCCCTACTCACTGAGCCACAGGCTCCACCCTTACTGTCTTCAAGCCTTGATAGTCTTTTCTGAGAAACGGGAATCCTATTGTGCACCAGGTAAAGCCACGACAAGGAGTGAATATGTGACACCAGCCACGTGCCAGCAGGGAGCCCTACCTGGAGCAGCCTGGCTGACCTGAATGGCTGTTCTTTGTCCTGCACCAGCTCTAGGGATTCTGTGCCATGATTGCCAAGGATTTACACAGAACCACACTGGGCCCGAGGTGCTGGCCAGGCTTGGGAGTTTCCTGGACACCTGAATAGGGGTGTGAAAACTAAAGCTAAAATATGGAGAGAAGGCAGTGGGAAAGCTGGAGAGATTCCTGGAGCATAGAAACAGCTGCTACCTTGTTGTGGGGGTCATGGCAATGGGCACAGGCAGAAGGGGCCTGCTGCTTGGGTGAGAGCCTAGAAGTGTCAGGTGCTGGGCAATGGGAATCCACCTTCAGCTTGGACATGTGGTTAATCTGGCCCAACCCTTTTTCTGCTCCTTCTGGAATGGCACCTGGTTTTTTGGAGGGGAGCCCCTCTTCTATAATTCTTCCTTGTGGTGCTGGGAGGGGCCGACCCCATCCCATCATCCAGGGGTGGTATGTTTGTTTTCTATTGCTGTCATAACAAGTTACCACCAATTTAGCAACTTAAAACAACACAAATCAATTATCTCACGATTCAGAAGTGCTGGTTCAACAGTTTTCAGAAGACGGAATCAAGGGGTTTGCAAGGTTGTGTGCCTTTCCGGAGGTTTGGGGGGTAAATCTATCTACAGACCTATTCAGACTGTTGGCTAGATTCTGTTCCCATAGATGCAGGACTAAGGACCCCATCTCCTTGCTGGCTCTCACCCAGGGGCTAGTATTTGTGCTAGCGGCCCTTCAATTCTTTCTCATGCATTCTGTGTGTCCCCTTCCCCCAGGAAGGATCCAATTTCTCTCTCTGCCATATTTCTTTGCCTTCCTCTTCTGCCACATCTTTTTTCCTGCCTTTTCCCCTACTCTTTTAAAGGGGACGTGGGCACATGTGATTACAGTGGACCCACTTGGATAATCCGGGGTAATCTTTTTAAAAGGTCAGCTGATTAGGAACCTTAATTACAACTGCAAAGTTTAAAGCAGTGTCATCACAGCATGGATCAGTCAGCATTCTCC